TGTCCGTACATGTGGAATATATTTGAATCATAATATGCATGTACATATATATACATATATTTATATATATATATATATATACATATATATAAATATAAATATATATATTTACATGCACACACATATATATATATATATATGTGTGTGTGTATGTGTATGTATATATATATATATATGTATGTATGTATGTATTAATGCATGTATGTATGTATATTCAAGCATATATATATATATAGTGATATGTATATATGTATAGATATATATGTATATATATATATATATACATATATATATCAATATTTGAAATAATTTTCATGGATTGAATTATGTATACACTTACCATCTTTTGTTATGAGCTTTTATGTCCTAGTTATCTTTGCAATCACACATTATTTTTGTTTATGTAGGTTGATTTGATATCGTAGTGCATGTTTAATATTAGACAACGATGTCAAAATCCATGCTCATTGCTGCAAGACCATTTTAATATCATCATGAAAGCAATAGCGTATGCCGCATACCATATGAGTTACTATGCCATATACTCACATCTCTCATCCTGACTCATTTTTAGGCATGCACCAATGTCTTTTTCCGCATGATATACTCGAGAGGCAAGGATCTCAAAGCTTAACATATTTTGCGAATGCGATAGCACGACGTCTTCTCTACATCCAGGATTCGATGCATGTCAAATGCTCGAGAATGTTCCATGTGCTGTATCGATGTGCATGTCGTTTGTGTCTGATGTTACTCATGCTTCATATACTCCAGGATGTGCCGACCTGTGAACAGGTCCAGTATGTGCGGTCTCTCCTGAGAATCACAGATTCTGTGCATAGCAACACGGTCCGAGAGGTTCTGCGCAAGGAAGAGAAGCAGTTGGAATTGCTCGTGCGAGTGACAGTGGCGGAAAAAGTTCAATATCCATCGGTCGCCAATGTGTACGTATACTGTTGCGTGCATGTGCCTCCTGGGGTGAACGTTGTCACCAAACTGATTGCGCGAGGGGGAGGAAGGTATGTGTTTAGGCCACACACGTATACTCTTGTCAGGAGAGCTTTCCTGTGCACACCGATTGCATAGAGGTTGTCAGGTGATTCTACACCTTGATAGTCAATTAGGAATATATCAGGGGACCATACGAGAATCACGGAATCTCATCTGTGACGAAGTCAATGTCCTCGGGGCATTGGTAGTGGAGTGTATAATTCTGTAGTTGCCGTTGTATCAGTGGTACTCCATAGGTCGTCAACTAGGGCGAGATAGCGGTGCCAATGTACATACGCATCTCTCCGTTCGAATGCACATGCAAATATGGAATACATCAGGGATATTTCAAGATTTTTCTACATGTACTGTATTTTATATTTATTTTTGAATTTCAATTAATGCGTATATGGGGCACCCTTCTTCACGCCTGTGATGATGCCAGCCCACGTATCAAAGTAATCTAACCGCTGATTTGTTTCATACGCCCAATCGCCATCAATGATAGTGCCTTCCCTCGCTCATGCACTGCGACTCCGGCAACGGAACCCAGATGTTCTTGCTTCTGATGCCCTTTTGTATCGCAGATCTCTACGTGCGAATTCATCCATGTTCACGTTTGCACCCCTCAGAGTGGTTGATTTCGACCAGATACTCACGCCATCAGTGCAGAGTGCGTATGGCGATAGTGTTGTGGTATCGCTGTGGGAGAGCACAGCCGTAGAAGGGAATGGGGCCAGCGTCATCGACACTAGCTCCAACAACAACCGGTAGGTATACGTATATGCATGATCTGTACATATAACTATAGGTACTTACCATTCGGACATGAACTAGTTTATAAACGAGAGATGATGTTACTGTCACTGACTCCAACAACAATAGCTCGTACATATGTCTATGGGTACT